AAGAGTTCAGATATTTTTACATGCTAACAAGTTAGCCTGCCTCAGTTTAATGGATGTTGACCTAGGACACAAGACTCCTGGGTCAGAGACATAGAATTCCATTATTATTCATGGTATAGCAAGCAGAATGAGTTTCATGTTTGCATTGCTTTTTATTGCCTTCCAATTCCCATAGAATGGTGTAAAGTTGTGGCTAGGTGGATGCTGAACACAGTGGGTTTGTGTCAATGATGAAGAATCCCATGCTAAGAAAACCCTAATCTTTTGTAAGAAAGCAAACCTACTTGGTATTCACCCTGGAGGTGAGGAGGGGTATAACCTATCTTCAAAACAGACTGATCTACCCTTTACACTGGATAGAGGCACTAAGCCGTCTCAAAAGATTATATTCTATAAAAATGTCCTTGAAAGGATAGTCCAGAACAAAGGCCACCAGTGCCTCTGTTTGTAAAATGTATAGAAATGTGAAAAATCCACAGAAAATTGTCCCTACATAAGTATGTGCTAGCCATCAGGAAGTAGTCTTGCACAAAAGTATAAGAGAGATAATTACCCGGTTCTATTTTTAATCTGTAGCCTCTCCAAACTCTTTTGGGGAAATTAAGTCAGCAAACATAGGTAAATGTTGACAATTTAAATTGAGATCAGGAGGCATTCAACATCTACTGAATGATAAATACTGTGGGAAACATGAAAAAGAAGGTTCAACCCATGCCTTTAATTTTATCCAGTGATAAGCAGCTCACACAGAGCTCTGGAACTAATTTTGGAATGAAAGCTTATGAAGTGGCCTCTGAATCATTACTTCTCAGCCATGCCCATGTATTAATCATTTTAGTGGCTGAAAAGCATCACCAAGTTTTTCCTTGATATTCTTTCACTCAGTATAAGAGGTATTATAAGTTGTAAGAAGGTACATCGTTCCATATGTGTTTGATAAAATTATAAATTTATTTTACTTTAAATGATAAAAAACACTTAAAACTATTTTTTTTAAATTTTAAACTTATAGACCAAACAAAGCTAGTCACATGTAAGTAAATGTTCATGATTCTATTAAACTGGAAATTCTAAGTAAACCAATCAAATTGTCAAAACACAATTTGATCATAGATCAAATTTCACTGAAATTCATTCAAAATGAATTTCAATCTTCAAATGATCATGTTGGCTTCCATTTTGTGTTAGGGAGATTCACTAAAATATAAAGCAATGCTATGATTGTATTCACAAAATTTGATTCAGTAGAGTTCAATATTTCATGAAAATCACTCAGCTTTTTCAAAACTTATGAATGAAGCAAAGGAAAAAGTAATGAACTGATACTCACATTTCTTTCCTTGAATATGCTCATAGTTATTTTGTATAACACATATGTGATATTTACAAACAGTTTTTTTTGTTTGTTTTTTACAGAACCACCTAACATGTATATTTGGCAGGGGCACTAGAAACCCCAAGGTGATGAATGTTGGTTCTTGGGAAGATAGATAGAAAAAAAATCTTAGTTATTGCAAAGGTTTGGGGGTCCTCCAAAGGGTCACAGTACAGCAACAGATATACAGTACATCTATGACATTAAATTTTGACTGTAGGGTTCATTAGGAAAACAGATGTCTAAAAAGGCTCCTGGCTGGGGAGGGGCTATAATAATGAAGAAAAGGATGATAGCCTAGAAGTGTTTTGCTAAGTGTTGTCAGGTGGCACTCACTAAGTTGAGCAAAGGGATTTATTTTTAAATTTTCTGTCATATTTTTTTATTTCCTACTTTTTAGTCTAATCATAATATAATCCCATTAAAGAACTTTAAGAAAACAACATCCATAATGTCCTTATGTTATAAAGTATTTTATGTTTGCATTTATTTCTTGTAAACCATAAATATATACTGCTTTGAATTTTTTTATCCACTTATTTATATATATTCATTTTTATATAATCTTTATAATTGCCACTTTTACAAGGCTACATGAAATTCACTTATGCTAGTCTTCTATCTTGTTTATACTTGTATATCTCTGAAAATTTCTTCCCCTTCTTTGTAGTTCTGCTTTTCCTTACTGCCTATTAAAATTTGTGGTCCTAGGCCATGTGTGAAGTTTCAAGCAGCAATGTTGGTCAGATGACATTAATTTCATTTAGACAGGAGGAATAAATACAAGAGGTCTATTGTGTGCATCATGATGGCTACAGTTAATAGTCACATACTATATACTTAAAAATTGCTAAGAAAGTAGATTTTAAGTGTTTTACCACAAAATAATTATGAGGTAATACATGTTAAATAGCTTTATTTAGCCATTCCTGGCATATACATTTACTCAAACACCATGTTATATACCAGAAATACATATAGTTTTTACTTGTCACTTAAAAAGTTTTCAAGGTGTTTAAAAATTTGAGGTCCTCCAGAATTGCATTTTCTGCCTCCCACTCTCCTTTTGATACACTATGTCAGGGTAATCTCATCCATCTTCAGATGACACAGAAATCTTTAGTTCCAACCCACATTTCATTTCTTGGTTGTACACCCATATATTCAGGTTCCTGCTGGTTATCCCTATATAGCTATTACTTAGGAATTTCTAGTAGTAATTCCTAATTAGTAATTTAGTAATTAGTAATTTCTAATTAGTAATTTCTAATCACCTTTTCTCAAACTGTTTATCCCTGGTCATTTAGAATCCTTTCCCTCCTCCTCAATCTGTCCTCTCCCCAGCAAAGTCCTACTTGTCATAATAATAATTTCAAAATATCTGTCTTTTCTCTCTGGTTTCTCATTACTTCAAGACTTTATGTTTTATTTAGATGATTATGCTTTGCTCCTGAAACTTCCCCTGTCTTCTATTGGAGATATTATTATCCTTTATAATACTACCCAGCAAGTCTTTCTAAAGTATAAATCTGATCAGTTCACTTTGTATTATTTTTATCTGTGCTATACAGTACTGTAACCATGAGTTACATGCACTTAATGAGCACCTGAAATTCAGATAATATGAATTGCGGTATGTCAAAGGACACCTACAATTCTAAGACTTAATCTGATAAAAGGAATGTAAAATATATCACTAATTTTTGTAGATATTTATTTCACTATTTACTTAATATGTTGAAATGAATTTTGTAGGGTTTTTAATTTTTTTCATATGACTGCCAGAATATGCAAAGTGATATGGCTTGCATTTGTGATCTTCATTATATACCAATTAGATAGTACTGATATTAGGGTAGTGTTCAAATCCTGTATCATAGAATTATGATCTGGCTAACATGTGCTTTGTCCATTTCAATTTATGCTAGCTATTGTGCGGAGCGGGCTTTCTTGGGACCAGGGCTGTAATTTAGTTGTGGAACCCTTGCTTAGCATGCTTGAGGCCCTGGGTTTAATCCCCAGGACTGAAAAAAAAAAAAAAAAAAAAGGATGGGCAGCTAGTCTTATTCCCTGATAGATCTGGGTTCACACCTGGGCACCTTTGTACGCCAGCCATGTGAAAACTGCATTTCAGTATCTCTAAATTAAAGATATAACAAATATAAAGTATCTACTTCATAAAATTTAATTCTCCCTGGTGCATTCTAGCCTGTCCACCTTCTTTCAATTCTTCTTTTCTTTCTATTGAAAAGAACAGGTAATGGTTCACATGTGTCTGAGACCTTACTGAATATTAAAAGTACACAATAAATTCTCTTTTCCTATTTAGTCATTGGGGCTCTACTTGCCTTGTCCTATTTTCACCAAATGTAGGACCTGAGAACCTCTGAGTTTCCCCGTGTTTTGTATTTAATATCCTGTTCTAGATAATTTATTTTAATAGAATAAATTATTATAACATTGAATAAGTCTCAAGTCAAATGATTTTAGCTTGCTCTTGTCCCATAGGAGATTTTTTTTCTATGATCTGATACCCCATAGTTAATTTGACGCCCCTTAGTTAATCTGATACCCCCAAAGAAGGATTTTGATTTAATTTTGGAGTGACATCAGAAACAATGTCTTCTCCCTCACACCTCCCTTCTCCTCTTAGCCATCCTGCCTAAAATATCTTCTACCCAAGACACACATATTTAGCTACTGCTCAAAGTAGCCCCCTAGTTAAATTCATTTTCATCAGTTAGCCATTTGGGATGAGAATGCTCAGTTCCCTGTGGATTTCCCACAGCTTAATAGAGTTTTTGGTAACTGACACCTTGAGAAAAATGCTCTAACAAATCTTAAAAGTGTGTTTGATTACCACAGTTGTTAAAAATAAGAGTAAGACAAAATATTTTAAATGTTGTTTCTGTTAGGGATTTCTATGAACATCTTTTGAGTATTCCACTCATGGCTTCTTAACAGTTTTTTCCCAGAGGAAGAGTTTAAGCACAGGACAACATTTTGAAAAGGAAATGAGACTTTGGCTGATGTCTCTCAAATGTAGAATGTGGCCTTTCAGATAATGTGATCACCTTTTCTTTATACAATGTCAGCATTTCAAAATGAGTATAGGATATGGATTAGGTAGGAATTGAATGCAAATGTGTTTTGCAAAAAGTGTCTTTTGAGATAATCACAGATTATGGTTGAATGCTGAAGGTATTAATACAATCAGTATTTAACCTTGTGTAACTCCGCTTCATCAAATTGCGCCCTGCACATTGATTGCATTAAGCCGGGTCAGTGGTTTCTTGCTTAGGAATATCTTATAAGAATCTTAACAGGAAGGCAGCAGTAGCTGATCAGCTACTGTTTATTTGCATACTGAGCGTGTCATCAATAATACAAAAGACAAGGTCTTTAAGTTGAAAGAGCAATGGGATTGGCATGAATTTTGCTTAATGGTGCGTAATAAGCAAAGTAGTCTGTGGTGCCAGAAACTGACAGGATCCATTATGTTAAAACAGATATATGTCTTTAATTTAGTGGTATTATGTAAATCTGACAGGAGTTTTTCCCTTTATTTTCCTGTAGTTTAACTTTAATTGCTCCAAGATTAATTCCGATTTCTTCCTTCCTCCAGAGGGTGATGAGACTGGTGTGATGGATAATCTTCTAGAAGCCCTACAATCAGGTGCAGCATTCCGAGACCGCAGAAAGCGGATTCCAAGGAATCCAGGTAATATCTACTCTAGTTCACATGGTCTTATCAAATCTGAATGTTCAGAGCCAAGTACCCCATGCCTTCCAAAAAAAGAAAAATAATGAAATTTTCCCATACAGGCTTTTTTAAACAGTTGATCTCATTTCATGTGTGAAATCTCAGCAGGCGTCTATATCTACATGATTGCAAATTTCAGCTCACTAAATGTATCTTCAAATAACTGTACACTTTGCAAATATATCAAATATAAGGACTCCCACTGTGTTTAATATTAAATATTTAATTGTTATTTTATGAACATGTGGTTTGGGTGGAAGGTGGTTTAAAACCATGAGTGTAATTAAATCATAAAAAAATAATTGGCCCCAAGCTATTCACAGGTAAGGAAACTGAGACAGTGCCCGTTTCTAAAGGCCATTTTGCTTTTGTAGTACAGTAATATAAATAATAGTCTGTAGTCCATGTTAATAAAGGAAGAAGAGTCACAGATCATTCAAGACCCTCAAAAAATCACAAAGCACTGAAACAATTTTTTATGAGTGTAATTGATTGATAACAGATAAAGGTGCACTGTGAAAATTGGTCTGAGGGGGGAAGAACACAAAAGTAGCAAAATAAAACTTCTCTCACTCAAGTGCAACCAGAAAGTTGGCTTCCTTATCTATTCATACCTTATGGCTGAGTAAATAATAGTTCCTCTCAGGAAAATCCAAGGAGTCCTAACTCTCCGCCTCCACCATGAGGTTTTATGTTTTCAGTGCATTTCTTTCTTAAAGTAGAGGAGGAAATTAGGTCTGTTGATTTTAAAAGTCTTCCTCATGGGCTATGACACTATATTGGAGAAATAAATGAAAAATTACTAGTAAATATGTAAACTACTTAATTTAAATTAGCAATATTTGACTTGGATAGCCTATACTTCAGAAAGTTTTCTTTGATCCAGCAGTTATTATGTTATAAGAATGGAAATTCATAGCTTCCAAGACCATTGTAATTGAACAAACTAGTGAGAGAAGTAGAACCCAGTGCAGTTGTTCATGAAAGCTTTTGGCAATGGTGAAGTTCATGATGGAAGCAAATTTAAGTTATATAAATCTTTTTCACATTTGGGTGAATCCTGAGGGATAGTAGATAACACTCCATCTATTCCCTTCATGGATGCTCTGTCAAGATTAGCCTAAAGATAAGATTTCATGTAGAGGAGAGAAGTGTTTTGGATAGAACACAAGACTGCTTTTTATATATATGAAGAAATTGAAAGTAGCCAAAAAAAAGAGTCAAAGATTGGAGAGAAGAACATGGAAATCTGTATTTTTACGTTTATAATAAAATTTTTAAGGTATACTTGCCTGGCAGAATGCCAGAGCACTACTACTCTACAACTATGAGGCAACCATGCCACCTATCCTCAGTCTTTGAAAAGTGAGGATGTTCTACCATGGTTTCAGAATACCTTCCATCTCTTAAGGACAATAAAAACCTTCACTGCTCTTTGTTGAACTATCAGAACAATAATAGTCAGTGAAAGCTGAATTGAAATAGTAATTTTTGTATCAATAAGTAAAAGCATGTTATTCTGGGCCATAAAAGGACTGCTGTAATCTTTCTAGTCTGCTTATTTTAAAACTACACATTTGTTAAGGCCCCTTCCTGATAAGTCTCACACCTCATACTGATTCTAGAAAAGCTGTACTGGAGAGAGATCAATCCTTGGGGGTTTCCTGAGCCTGATACTCTGGGGAATGCAGTGTCATCAACTGTGAAACACCAAGGATACATTCACAAACTGTATAATTTTATAGTACTAATTCCAAGTCATCTAAATTGTTATTTTTGGTTTGTAGCTAGATTGCCCCAATTAACACATAGGGTCAAAAATGGTGCATTTAAATACAGCAGTCATTCCGATTGGCAACAGCCACAGCAAATATGCAGAGGCAAAAAGAAACCAGCATACAGGCAGTGGCAACAGTTAGTAAACATCTTGGACATCAGTAGAACAGGAAGCAAGAGAAGGGGAGGGAAAGGCACAGAGTTTATAAGTCTTCAAAACCTCTTCTGTCTGCTTGCCTCTTTTATAGAAGTGGCAGAGACAGGGACTTTTAGAGATTTCCTCCTCATCTAGATCTTTCCTAGCTAAGTCATCTTTTCATGAAGGTCCCCTGTTGTTTTTGCTTTCTTAGTCACCTTATTTGATTCCTTTCCAAGTTCCCATTGGATTTGGTATTGTTACCCTTCCCCTGCTCAACACAAGAATCCTTGTTCCTTTCTAATAACTTCCATTTCAACATGATGACATAAAAACAGAAAAACAAAATTATGAAGAATAGAATTTTCCCCAAGGGAAGTAAAATACAAAAAAATAGACCAAAAAGTTTCACATCAGAGTCTAGCACAAACAGCAAGGATGTACTCTGTTCTGCTTGCCATTTCCATTATTATCAGTTACAGAGGAAATTACTGTATTTACACAGCTCAACCATTGTGTTTCTAATTGGAATGTTTTCAATTATGGATTTAAACAAAATGAGGTAATAGTCTGTATTTTTATTAGCAAATCAATATATTAAACAATGATATGATTACTTGCCTAAATTTTAACAAATCTTTCTACACTGGGCCTGTTCCCCCTCCCCAAGACCGTAACATTAGATAAGTTAGAAAGAGCTCCCAAATATTGTCTACTTCCCATTCAGCTGAGTGTGCTGTTTCCATTAAGAGCATAGTTCCTGTGAAGGGAACTATGCTAGATGTGATGGAAGATGCTGAAGTAATAAAGATAAGATTTCCTTAGTTATAAAACCCTTGTGTCTAGTAAGAAAGATAAAAAGTACAGAAAGACTACAAAATAAGGCAGAAGATAAAAGAAAGCAAAAGGTGTTAATAACATACTACATAAGTTCAAAGAAGGAAGATAACATGCTTTATTGAGTATATCAGAAAGATAATCATGGAAGAAAAGGTTTTGCAGGATGAATAGAGATTTCAATAGTGGAAGCTGGTGCCACATCATTAAATACTGAAATGAGACACTAGGTGTAGCATGTATTTCTTTAGGCAGAGGAATCTAATGGAGGTTTTTCAGCCATAGGAAGATGATCAAAGTTGTGCATTATGACATTTAAGCTATAGGTGTGTAAGAAATGAAGTAGGAATCTACAGGCACATTGTTAAAGGAGATAACGTAGAGAGAGAAGAATATCTAAAAGTCAAAGATAACTCTAAGGTTTTGAGTTCAGGTGACTAGGAGGACAAGTAGGTTACTAAACTGTTAAGATCAGGAAAAGGAATGGTGGTAGTAGAAGATAAATTCATTTGGGGACAAATTAAACTGGAAAGTGGTAGCAGAGCATCAAAATCAAGATTTACAGAAGGTTCTTAGAAATATGGGTATAGATTTCATAAGGAAATGGTTGGGTACTTAAGCATTCTGATTATACTTTGTGAAATGAAAGAGATTGTTGGAGGGATTATTAACAAGACAAGAGAGTCAAAGATAGGACCTTGAAAATTCTTCCATTTAGGAGCTAAAAGCAAAGAAGAAAACTGACAAAAGCCAGTTGGACAGGTAGGAGGAGAATCCAGACATTGTCCTGGAAGCAAAGAAAGACAAAAGTATTCAGAAGGCAGAAAGGGTAGGCATTTTCAACAATGACATATTATGTAGTGGAATCAAAAAGGATAAACCCCAGTGATTTCTACTTGGGAGCTTTCTAATTCCTTTGTAAAGAATGTCACTTCAATATTATAATGTAACTAAGAGCCAGAATGTAGGAGCTCCACAGTGAGTAGATGGTGAAACTATGGAGATAGATAGTATTCATTCAACATTTAAATAATTTTATTGAATGCCTCCTCAGTGCCATATACTGGTTTAGGTGCTGAGGATGCAAAACCAAAGAGGATATTTGTCTTGAAGAGCTCATATACTGTTCAAGGAAGTGTGAATATAAACTGTATGATCGAATTAGAATGCAGTGTTCTGTAATAAAGATAGGAATAATGTACCTGTGAAGCATGGAAGTTACAGGAACTTCCCCCCAACTTTTCTCCTCTCTCCTTTGTGTTCTTAGCATATAGACTATTCTTTCTAGTAGTTTAGTGGGTGAAAGGAACATCTTATTTTCCCTTAACAACCTAGTATAGACCTAGTGTCTATGAATTTTTATCTATGAATTTTGATAAATTCTTCTTGACTCTCTTTATCACCACTTAAGGTAATAAGTCCTGTATGTTTATAATCCGTGTGGTAAAGAATTGCCCACCAATATTCCTTACTTTTTCATTATAAGATCAAATATAGGGAAAATAAGCACATAAAGAAAGACCTCACAGGAGTGAGAACCACACTTAAAATACAAATGCACAACTCCACATGAGTTTTATTACTAGATAACTATAGATACTTAGAGCTTGCTTGTTGTCCCCCAGCCAATGACTTCTTTCCTTGCCTACTATAAAGAAATATAAATGGGCTTCTCAGCAATAGGTACATATCTAACTTAGCTATTTGGGCTAAGACTGGATTTTGGTCTATAGTTCTAGCCATTCATACAACTCACAAGAGAAGCATTATGAAGAAATGAAACCAAGAAACAGAATAAGTATTTTTGGTTTTAGAACCACATAGGGCAACCAAGAAAACTGAATTTAAGAAAACAGAAGAAACTCAGGAGACACATGATCCCAGTTTTATGTATCAGCAAGATAACAATATAAATGAGAAGGTATAATTTACCATTTGAGAATAGAAAGAGGACAAGACAAAATGGTATATACCACAGAGGGAAAAACAAACTCTAAGTATTATAGAAAAAATAACTTCCCAACAAAACAAAACTCACATTTCACCAGGCCTCTCTACTTCGCATAAATAACAGAACCCCAATTGTGCTGGCTGTTGTCTCCTCATACACATTCAGGACCTCTGAAGCATTTCTGGAAGTTCTCAGGGAGCATTTCAGAAATAAAGACAATCTCCCACTACTGTTCCTCCACTTCTGCCTAGAATACCA